TAAATATAAAAGTGAACATTGGAGTCAACACTCAGAAGCAACAGGCTGTTTCATGCTAGACACAATCATGGGGGCCGTGAGTGTTGGATTTTTTCTCAACTATATATATGAGTCAGTGGTGCATTTAATAATATATATAGTTGAGAAAAAATCCAACAGTCATGGCCTGATGATTGCGTCTAGCATGAAACAGCTTGTCGCCTCTGAGTGTTGACTTCAATGTTCATATTAGTGTTTGAGCCTTTTATTATATATATATATATATATATATATATATAATAAAAGGATCAAACACTAATATTCCAAGAACTTTTTTAATTTGTAGGTCTGATGAATTGGATTGTGATTACGATTCCAGTGTAATAAATTATAACCATGGAAAATTAGTGTTTGAGCATTTATATTATATTCTTGCTCTGTTCTGGACATTCAGCCCTACTTGAGTTTTATCCTCTTGGAAATTTATATATATATATTGAGTTGTGTCAATATTTCAAAACAAGTCTGTCTTATTAAATGAACTGTTTGCTTTTTTATTCAAAAGCTCTGATCATGTACTCAAAACATCAGCTTAAATAATGTTTGAAATCATTTTAAACACTATGCAGACATCAAAGATTTCTGCCACTCCTGACTTAAGAACTTCTCCATTTACCAATCCCACCTGAGAACTTAAAACAAGTTATAAAAACTCGTAAAAATTTTTTTAAAAATCAGAACAACGTCATTGTATGTTGTATGAAAACATTGATTGTTATTGTTTTCTATTTCTTTAAAATAAATCAAATTAAATAAAATGAGTGAATAAATTTAAAAATAAATAAAAACCTTTACTTTATTTAAAATATGAAAATGGAAGTAATGTACAGAATAGAGAAATGATTTATTACAGCAATAAAAGCACTAATAACAGGAAAGAGTTAACAAAAAGCCAACATATATTAATGTAAATTGATAATACTGAAATACATCGATTAAAACAGTTAAACCAGTTTATCAGTCTTCTCTTATCAAAGTGAAAATCAAGTTGCACTGCAACTAAAACAAAAATGTACAACCCCAGACTAATGTTTTATACAAATGAAAAATATAACATAAAAGGCTTTAATCTCACCAACCCCTCCTATTTACAAAGAGATGGTTGGTAGGACTTAATGTGTATTGATTCCAATTGAATATAGCGATCAGGTACTTCTCACTTAGTGTCTAGCTCATTTAGGGGTCACATCATTGGAAAAGAAACCCAGTTGTTAAGAAAGAGTGTATATAGAAGATTTAAATATTATTGATGTCATATGTCTGTTATTTTCTTGAAGAAGAAAAATAAAACTATATTATTTTAGGACCTGATTAAAAATAGGTTTCTGCCATTGATGTATTTTATAACCTTGTTTTTCCTGGGAATTATTCTACATGTTGGGGACAATGGTAGTCTTGAATACAATTTTTTTTTCTTTTGTCCTATTGAGAACTGCACTATTGGACTTGAAGTATTCAGTTCACTGCTCTTAGGGAAGAGCATCTTATTTCAAGTTGCTTTCTATTTTATGTATTTCTTTTTTCTTATTTATTTGTTTATTTTTTATCAGTCAATAATCCTAAGAATGTTTTGATTGGAACCTTATCTCCTCCCACAGAAATTAGTATTTTCTACTTTGATAAAACATGGAGAATTTTTTTCTTGTGACTTTAGAATGAGAAATAAAAAATGTCTGATTTATTTTAGTTTAATTGAAATTAGATTTTTATTTTTAGAAAAAGTACTTTTTTTTGTATGTCTCTTTCATTTTCAAGGAAAAATTATCATATAAGTGAAGTCTTTGACCAATAAAATCCTCAGATTTTAAATTCAATATGAATGTATTTGTTGGATATATATATATAGTTGTGGGCCACTCATATCCTAGAATGCCTGTCTACTGGGGTGGCTAGCTAATCCCTGTTGCAGATGCCTGTTTTGGCACATTTTGTGTTTGTTCAACACCAACAAAGAGCCTATCTGTGGTTTATGCTGCAACTATGCTGAGCGGATCTTAGTTTCTGGGGGAAAGTGCATTATCTAGTGTGATCAAAAGTCTGAAGAAGACCAGAACACTCAAACCCTCAGTCACAATGACTTGTGACTTCGTGCTAGCACAACCACCAATGGCTCCTAAAGGTTCCATCTACCCAATTTCACTCACAAAGCTTGGGTCAACCAGAGGTATGGTTTTCAGGCACTTTCTAAAGGTGCTGCATGCTGTGATCACTTCCTCCAGACCAATAACATCAAGTAGTCACGAGACCCAGGTTCGAATTTCATCAGGCTCAATTTGTCAGCAAATAGGTATCCATGGAGAACAAAAATATATATACATCCACTAGCAAAAACAGATAGACTACTCACGGGCACACATTTGAGCCCTATGCAACACAAGAGGGATGTGTATGCGTGTGTATGTGTATGTGCGTGGGTATATATATATATATATATATATATATATATATATGTGCGTGTGTGTGTATGCTGATTCATGTGCAAGCTAACAGGGACACGCATACACACCCAATGCACAAAAATGGAAATAGATCTGACAGTCTCACGGGTGATGTCGGGATAGAGGGGCATCTATCACCAGCACATCTGTCATCGCTACCACTAAGACCAAACCTAATGATTTTATTACCACTTAGGCTGAAATTCACTTTTGCCAGCTGTCCAAAAATGAGATCAAGGCTCACTACAAATGCAGAAAATGAACAATGAAACATTAAAAGAACAAAAGAAAAAATTATTACTTTAAAAATTGATTCCTTAAATAACCTGAAGAAGGTCACGAGACCGGAAACACGTGTAGCAAAATATGAAGAATACAATATAATATGTACGCTAAAAAATATCCACATTATAACCAAAAATGTTTTCTCTTTTTTAAATATATATATATATATATATATATATATATATATATATATATATATAAAGACAAAAAAAAACTTATCTTAGCCAATGTTGTTTTGTCTTCTGAGTTCCTTTATCAAGGCATTCGCAGAGGACGAAATTCATTCATATTGTCCTTTTACAGATATACTCTATCTGAAATTTTTACTCACACACACACACACACACATATATATATAAAGAAAATTAATGTTATAGTGGATACTGGTATTTGAAATAGATGTCCCATTCGTAGGTTATTTAAAGCTGAAACACATTTTGGATTGTAAGAACAATTCCTTTTTTTGTGATTGGATATTGCATTAACAATTTTTTGAGAATAATGATTTTTCCGGATACAAGTCTTACTATTTAACTCATAGCTGGGGAGAGATGGATTCATGCCTTTCCTAAACTTATTTGTGCATAAATGAATATAATCGACCTGACTAGCATTCAGCTTGGCTTTCCAATTTCACATTCCAAGCTGTTATCCATTACACCCTCCATTACACCCTCAAAATTTGACACAGTGTTGATAGCAGATATAGAAAGAAAACTATAAAGTCTCCTACAGAAGGTAGTGCAGGAAAGCAAGAAGAAAGGACTACACATAAACTTCAAGAATACAGAATGCATGTTTGTTAGCAAAAGGATGAACCCAAAATGCAAATTAGAAATCGGAAATATGAAAATCAAACAAGTGCAAAAACTTAAATATCTGGGAAGTGTTCTAATAGAGGACGGAAATTGCAACACTAAAAACCGAAGACGCATTGGGATGGGCAAAGATGCATTTAAAAAGCTAAGCAGAGTATTAAGAGACAGAAAGATTTTGTTAGAAACAAAGAAAATCTTATTGAACTGTTATGTGATATCTATCCACCTTTTTGGCAGTGAATGCTGGACAATCTTCTCAAAGATGAAGAACAAACTTGAAGCAACAGAAATGTGGTTTTACAGAAAGATGCTGAGAATACCATGGACGAAACATGCGAGCAACGATAAGGTTTTAGAGAAAATAGAAAAGAAAAATAGAAAAATAGAAAAATAGAAAAAGGAAACTGATACTTAATCAGGAAGAGGCAATTAAAATTTCTGGGGCATATAATGAAAAAGGAAGGCTAGGAAAATCTGACACTCACAGGGCAGATTGAAGGCAAGATGGACAGAGGAAAACAATGCATAACATACTTAGTGAGCTTGAGTAAATGGATGGCAGAACAGGGTTTAAGAGAAATAACAAGAATACAAAATATATTAAGAGCTACAAAGGACAGGCAATTGTGAAGAGCCAGGTTCGCTTACACCCTCTGGGGAAATAAAGAAGAATATTCCACTAACTTATATGACCACTGGAAAAGAGAATGAATAGTGTAAGGAGGAGGGGAAAGGAAAAAGGGGGAGGAGAGGAGGAAAAATTTATTCATTACACTCATCCGGGTTCATACATACCCAAAATATATTTACTTAAATGACTGCACTTTGACAAAATCTCAGTTCTCTCATTCAGTAGCACATCTAAGATATGTAGCCAACTTCTCCTCTTGACACAGTCGACAGCAGTTGCCACAGACTAGTTTTTGTAAATATACAATCTATTTATATAGAATTATACCTGGTATCTAAAGTACACATTACATTATACAAGGTGACTGAGAAGTAACTCTCTATTTTATGTATGAATGGCCATCCAGCCGTCCTGACTTAACACCCTGTGACTTTTTTTTCTTTGGGGGTTGGTTAAAGGAGAAAGTCTACTATACCAAACCAAGACTTTGGGAGAACTTGAAGGGCGAATACAAGGAGTCATGCCTTCCATACCACAAGAGTTCCTGGTGGAATCAGTTGACGCGATTCCTGGGCGGCTCGAGGAGTTGGTAACGAAATCTGGTGCCCATATCGAATTTTAAATAAAACCTCAGTCAGTCTTAAGGAATAAAATAGAAAAGAATGTTTAGATCTTAATACTAAAATCTAACCTCTTTATATGTTTCCTTCATGCAAATCTATCAATTACTGTTTCCCTAGTAACAAAAATAACCTTCCTACCATCATCTTTTCTTATCATTTGATGCAGTCCAGCCTTGCCCAATCGAGTTTTCCTTTCTGACTACCTCAGATTTTCTTTCCTTTTTCTTCTTTATCTTTATCATTTGTTTCCTCTTTCTTTTTCTTTCTAACAATTGTTTCTTCTTTTTCTTTATTCTATTTCCTCTTGCTCTCTCCACCCCTTCTTACTTCTGTTTTATTTTTTTTTTTATTTCTTCCTTTTCTTTTCAGCCTCCATCTTCCTCTTCCTTTTGTTCCTATCTTTCTCTTTTATTGTTTTCTTTCTTCAGCCTTTCCGATATTTACCTTGCCACTCATGACAGCAAGATGTGATACATGATCAGCGTAATGTAGAATTCCCACACATACATGCAAAGACAAAAATTGCCTAATCTTCACAATCAGTGTTATGCAGATGTTAGAACATTCCGTGCATTGGGGAAGGTGTTGCTTTAAGGTCGGGACCCCTGGTACCAGTTTCACCTCATGTTCTGCCATATCCTGAACAAAGTCAAGAACATTGTGCTACGTCCCACCCAGAGATGAGAACATAGTTGAGAAGAGGAAAACATTTTGCATTAGTCCCAGTCTGAAGGCCAGAGAGCATAGCTCTGATCTCTCTCTCTCTCTCTCTCTCTTTCATCTCTCTCTTTCATTTCTCTCTCTTTTTCCTTTATTTTCATACTCTTTTTCAATCTCTGCATAATTTTCCCTTTTCTATCTAATTTTCTTTTTCTCTTCTTTTTCCTCTTTTTATCATCTTTCTTTATTCTCCTCTCTTTCTTTCTCAACACTTCTTTCTTTTTTTTTCTCTCTACCTCTCTTTCTCTATATCACTTTCTTCTGCCGCAATCCCATTTTTATTTTTTTCCTTCTCTCGTTCTCTTTCTTCATTTTCTTGTTTCTTTTTCTCATCTATTTCCTCTCCACCCCGTATGTTTTTGCCTTTTTTGTTCTCACCTTCCCCGTCTTCAGCTTTTTCATTCTTTTCCTTCTGTCTCTCTCTAAGTGTGGTGGGGTGTCTTAATAATTAGAACAGCAGAATTCTTCTGAATATGTAATAAACGGGGAACTCTTAATAAAAGGGAGTTTGAAGAATCTTTTAAAGAGCCAAAAAGTGCGAAATTAATAAAGAAATGCCCTTGATAAACTCAAGTGAGGCGAGGATCTCCTAAAAAAATAAATAAATGTCTTATTAGGCACCTAAGAGTATCTACATATTTTTATTTCTTTTCCTCTTCTTTTTTCTCTGTGTCATTCATTCATTCATTCTTTCTTTTTTTTTTCTTTCTTTCTTTCTTTCTTTCTTTCTTTCTTTCTTTCTTTCTTTCTTTTGCTCTGATTATTTTTCTTCTTATTCACGCTTTTAATAATCACTTTTTCTTCCACCTTATACTTTTCATACTCTTCACCATCTTTTTCTTTTTACTTCTCTCCCACTCTCTCTCTCTCTCTCACAGACACCTTCCCTCCCTCTTTCTCTTTATTCTTTTCTCTTTCTCTATATCCCTTTTTCTCTCTCTTTCCCCCTCTCATACATGTGCAGGCATATGCCATTTTCTCTACTTAACTCCCCAAAATTGAGCCACCACATTTTTCAAATGCCTAACAAATGACTATCTCTTCCCATCCTTCTGAAAGTTTGGTTTCAAGTCCCAAAATAAACAAAAGCAATGAACAGCTATAAACAAAACCAGGAATATTTATTTGGTTTTTTATTTCTTCATTTATTTTTATATAACTGAAATAGTTTAATGAACATCATGGCACTGAGGCCAAATTGTATATAAAATACAACCATATACAGTATTACCAATATATATAACTTCTTTTGTGTACTATGTCAGTTCAAGTCTTGAGTGATCATAACCCTCTATAACTTTATTTCCTTTCTGACTGAATTTCTGGGATGATGAATTATCATTATTTACCCACGGACTATTTTCGTCATGTTTGTTGTTGTTAACGCAACGTTTCGACCGTCCGGTCTTCATCAGATGTATGCCGATCTGGCTAATCTTAGACTTGAAGAGGTCAAGATTTTAGTGGTTGGAAAACTATCTTACCAGGAGTCTGTTACACAAAGCAACAGTTCTTGGAAAGAAGCTGTCAGAATGGAACTTACTTCTTACTATAGAAATGCAAAGGGAATGGGAATGATTCATCGTTATGTACGTGGCTTGGTGGGTCTCAGTTAAAGTCAGGGATTCTGGGACAAAGGAAGGTATCTCATCAGAACACATCTTACTTCATAGACTCCATTTTTATACTGATGATCTTAGCATTACTTAGGGTACAGAGAAAATACAGAAGTTCCATATTTTATTTGACTTTTGATGTTCAAATGAATGAAACGAAAGCGCTCAACCATGAAATTTAAGCAACTTTCCAAGTGCTCTTAAACACTAAACAGAACCTTCGGACATTCTACACTGTGGGTTTATTTATTTAACAGTGAAATTGGTATCAAGCTAACTGGACATGTTCGATTTCTTCCAAGAGGCACATTTTATTGCCCAGGTCAGTAGATATCAAATTCACTGTTAAAAAAGAGTGATATATGGTCAAACAAGTGTATATATTACCTGAGTGTAAACTCAAGGAGAAAATAGAAGACCAGTGACCGTGACGTCTGCCTTAAATTTAAAATTCATAGTTTTATATATGAAAAAAAAAAAGTTGTAAAGCAACTTTAACGGATAAGAAATGACTTTCATTCTTTCGTCCATAAAGTTGGGAGATAAATTAAATGACATTGACATTTTGCTTAATGTACATTTCTTTCTTTTCATCTTTCCGCTCAATATCTTGAGTGTTAAAACAAATCAGTACCTTTTTACACTCGCATATACCATTTCAGGTTTTACACTTCAAAGTCACATTAGTTGATACATTTTCTCCAATCAGTAATCTGGCATTATCTTCAATCAGTAATCCGGCATTAATTTCCACGAGAGCCATTTCAGATTTTTCATGACGTAACATGGACACGCCACTGCAGTTTGTTGGTGATAGCTGTTGGGTCAGCTGGTTTTGAGCACTTTCAAACACTGGGAAAATATTGTTACTTTTCTTTTGTGAATCGTTATTATAGCCTGCTGATGTTTTACCCAAATCATGGTCCCAATAAATACAGAAAGTGCTTCTAATGGTACGAAGCACAAACACTATACAATTGTCCATAAGAGGTAAGGTAGAATTTCTGAAAAAACTTGACAGCGTATGTGATTTATGTAAGTCAGCAGAATTACCTGTAACTTTTATTTTACGTGTTTGATTTAAATTTCATTTAATGTTTCCCTTTGGAAGGGGAAGTAATGAAGTTTTTTTTTTATTTGTAACTTTTATATTATCCGTGTTTCATTTAAAATTTCATTTGATTTTTATTTCATTTTTTCTTTCCTTTATTAACTATAAACATATTCTGATTTGCAAAGTATTTTACAAGTAGAATGAAGTGATGAGATATTGGGTTAAATGTCTTCTAATGTAACCATCATTAATTCGAATAACTAGTTTTGGTTCACGCCAGAATCTGCTGCAGCCATAGCTCAACGTAACCATTACTACCATCTCTATCACAGAGAATGGTATAGTAGAACCATTGCTACATTTAGAACTATCTGCAATCATTGCAAAGGAATTCTAGAAAATGCAAAGAGCAGCTAGGCACAGTTAGTCCAAGAAAAAGTTCAAAATATTAGACTTGGTTGCCGTGAGTTTTGGAAAATCTTAATTCTTAATAGAGGCAAAACGCCAGTGTCTTTTTTTCTTTTTATGTACCATGTCCTTTCAAGACGTAGACGATCATGGCTCTCCACCTCTTCCTCTATCCTTTGCAGCTCTCAACAAGTCCCTTCCCTCTGCTTCCTCCCCCAGATCACATTCTGTCATCCACTTGCTTAAGTCTGCCAGGTATGTCACGCATTATTTTCCCTTGTCTCTCTTTCGCTTTGTTTGACTCGTGAGTATCAGATTCTCCAGACCACCCTTCCTCATTATGTGCTCCAGGAACTTCAGCTGCCGCTTCATGGTATTAAGTACAAGCCTCCTCCTTGCTTGCAACCTCCCTATCTCACCGTTGCTCACACGCTCGGTCCATGATATCCTTAGCATCCTTCTGTAGAGCCACATCTCTGTCACCTCGAGTTTCTTCTTCATCTTTGAGAAAATCGTACTTTCTTACATGGTCCTGAGACTATTTCATCCTTGTCAGATAAGGCAAGGATCTAAGAAAGCTACAGGACCGAATAAAATCCCAGTAGGTGTTCTTGAAAGCCTATTGAGACTCCCGTTCCTGCTAGACCTTGTACAAGTGGACCTTGTATTGAAATATCAAAGCAGAAATATCTAATACGAATGATGTCAGATGTGTGCTGCCTGTGCATTTTAAGGTTTGATGTCTTTTGTGCAGCAGTACATTTACCTTTTCCATCGTAATATATCACCTTTCTTAAAATTTGTGCACAGATTTTTTTCAACATATCACCCTTCGTAACAAAATTTGCACCATTTTCGCATTTTCATCACGATTCTTCTGTTAAACTTAATTACAGATTCTTATTGTTCAAAGCACAGTCCAATAGTATTATAAAAACCTCGGAAGATACAATGTTTCAAAGCTTAATCTAACAAATGAACAATTTTGCTTTTACACGATTTGGGCAATTTTGCTGTTACACCCGGCATCCGGGAAATCCGGTTGAGCTCTCTTGAGAAAAAGGTAATTTTAAAAACAGTGACTCCTACTGCTATCTATGCATTGCTCTTCAACTGAATTGAACTCTCCGGACCATTGACGTATTTCGTATAGAAAACGTTAAAAATTCCCTTTCTCTCTGCCGTGCGACGATAGCCTAGGGTAGGATCTCTGACTGATGCCAAATCGGTTGGGTTTTGCGTTTTGATCGGCCTGAGCGAAATAGTCTCTCTGTGGATGAGAATATATATATATATATATATATATATATATATATATATATATAAAATATATATATATATATATATATATTAAATATATATATATATATATATATATATTAAATATATATATATATATATATATATTAAGAAAAATATATATATATATATATATATATATATATTAAAATATATATATATATATATAATATATATATATATATATATATATATATATATATATATATATATATATATATATATACACACACACACACACACACACAGGATGTCCCTCAAAAATTGACATAATTTAAAATGTAAATATCTAAGTAACTACATGTCCCAGGCAAAC